CCTCTGGAAAGAAGACCCTTTGGGCTTTACTATCCATCATCCAGAGTTGATAATTCTCAAAAAGATATAAAAAGTTATAGACACTGAAGTGCCTTGAAAAAAATTGTAAATTTTTTTAAATTTCATATAACAATACATGAAATCAGTCCTGGAGCAATCCAGAAAAGTAATGGGTTGAAAGTCACATGTCTCATGAGTTTATATTTCAAATCTGAAGAAAATACCATGAAAAATTAGATTCCTGCAAACATATTTCCGAGACTATGTCTATGTCTAGTTTGGGGAAAAATATTTACCAAATGTATTGAAGGGTTCTACAAATTACTTTAGTCATTATACATACCACTGCATAGTTTTTCAATTATAAAACAATAGACAGAATCTTAGACATTTTATAAGTGATTTATTTGAGCACTAGAAAAATACAATAAGAATCATTTTTGAATAATAAAAAGAAATAAGAAAAAATATATCGGCCATATAGTCAATAATCACACTCTTATGGCCGTTCATATAGACCGCATTCACACTGATAGCTGTCATACTGACAGTAATCACATGCTGATGTGCGCTCATACAGATGGTAATCATGCAGATACAGCCACATTCCCCACAAAACACAAACACATATATGAAAAATGTTGAAGAAGAAAAAAAAGAATTATTTGTGCAGAAAGCCGATCGCTAAGTTACGCCCCCAACAGATGACAGGTGTGTCACAGCATGCGTCATGAGCCGTCACGAGAGAGCGCCAGAATTCAAATAAACAATATTCCGCGTATCTTTGAATTTGTTTTTAGTGGATGGTCTCATTCTGTTTGTGACACTGTATGCTACAAAACCATGTTGCTTTTTACTACCAAGACGCAGTTTTTTGAGTGTAAGTTATTCCATAATGGATACAAACAATAACTCTCCCCGAAGAAATAAGACGTTAACAAAGGAATAACCATCCATATTACAAAGTTATTGTTTCGTTGGACTAAAAGTGCTCTATGGGATGTTGTTCAGTGGATCCATACCTTTCTAACTAAACTGGGATTTACAGCTGTGGATGCGTTTATGACTCATTATTACGATGAATCTGGTACGTACTGCGTTTTGATTATGCATGCTTTGATGTGTACTGCTTACACAAATTTAGCAAAAACATTCCTTATAAGCTTTCCATTGAAAAACAGCGATCTATCGTTGATGCTTGAGGCTTAGACCTTTAGAATGATATATAGTTTGTCAAGATTAATTATGTCCCTTTTCATTTAATCTATTCGTAAACATTGACACGTGCAAACAAAGAGCGTTCAGTGCGCTGGCGTCCAGGTGCAGGTTAACGGGTTCAAACAAAACACTGCCACATACCTGGAGACAAACTCATTTTTAATGCTAAAGCAATGTTAAAGCATTTCAGAACCAAAGACTTGTCTTGCCACTGATCTAGAGTCAGCTTCTCTATTCTCATTAGGAATGAAGGTATAGATTTGGAGTGTGGAAACGGTTACGGCCAGCAGTTATGGGCAGTGTTTTC